TTTTTTTTTTTTTTTTTTTTTTTTTTTTTTTTTTGGCTCCCAAGGACAGCGTTATATCGAGGTAGAGGTGTACTTTCAAAATGGCCGCTGTCTCACATCGTTCCCAGTGTCAGTGAAACCAAGCTGCCCTCAGTGAATACCATGGTCCCACTATACTGTTAGGCATAAAACAGTAAAAACGTCAGAGATCGTAAATATCCCCAAAACTTGTAAATGTAGCATTAAGGTTAAATCTAAACATATTAAGGTATGGAAATAAATAGTTATGGCACCAAGCATCCTTGATACCACCCACTGGTGACGAGGAAAAAATGGTGCTTAGTGAGAAATGAGTTTCTCTCTTAATCAGTTTTATCTAATCTGAGACTAGAAAATTTTTATGTGATAATCATAATTATATGGCTTCATGGTTTATATGATATTACAGGGAGGGGTTAAGGTTGTTTGGATGTCTTACTACATTTGCATATCTTAAAAGAAATCCAAACATGGTAAATTTTAACCTTAACTCTGAATATACTAGTATACTATGCTAGCCCTAGTGTAGATGGGTCATCAGTTGCCACAAGCATTTTTAACTCTGCAAATTAGACATGCTCAGAGCAGGGTCTAATCAATATGGTATGTGACAGCATCTGTGGCAGCCGTGTTGCTAACCCTGGTGGAACTAAGCCGGTGTTGGCAATAATGGAATATTTTCTGCTCATCATTGCTACTTTTTCATTTCATGCGCCTCATTAGTTCTGTTCTATAGAAAAATAGTTCTCTTCCCTATTGATGCTGTCTCCCTACAGTTTTTATTTTGACTGTCTTCACTATTTCCTTGTTAAGCTTAGTTTGTTACATTTCATGGTTTTTCTCTGCAGATGACCCTCATGTACAGTATTCTGCAGTGAGCAGCTTTGTGTTTCTTCGTTTCTTTGCTGTCGCTGTAGTCTCACCTCATACTTTTCATTTACGACCTCATCATCCAGTAAGTTTTTTGTAAAGTTTTTTGTATCACTTTTACTCATAATCTGCAGATCTCTTTAGATAGAAAGATGTATAGAGATAAGCTTCTCTCACTGGCTGTACTCTGCAATTCAAAAAGAAAATCAGGATACTAATTTTCTCTAGGTTGGGTTTTTCCTTTCACACCTGGCTAAAGGAAACCGTGGCTTTGTGGGAGGCATTGGCTAATAATTTATAGTGGGAGCTCTTAAATGGGATGGAGCTGCTTTTAATGGAGCATATGTTTCGGGGTGTATTAGAGGAAGGTGCTGCTCTCTGTGGAGATGAAATCTTAAGGGGATACTTTTTTTTTTCAAAGGCAGAAATGGCAGTTATGAACCTCTATCACACACACACACTCTCTCTCTTTTCCCTGTATGGAGTTAGGCTTCTAAATGTCATTTGTGCCTTTGAAAATCTCCCTCCTCTCCCCAGTTTCTCAAATAGAAGTTGCAGGAAGAAATGCTTTCTGTGATGGTATTGGGTAGCTCTGATTTATGCACTCATGTGGATTTTACTTATTCTCCTGTATTGCCAGATGTTCAACATAATAGCAAAAATTGTACATATTCCATCCATGTAATCTGGTAACCATATTATAATTGTAATATGGAACATACCCATCTGAATTTTTGTACATCAATATTTAGTCTAAATTTTACATTGGAAAATGTCAAAGCATAGGAATAAGCTATTGAATTACTGCTTACATATAAAGGAGAACATAACTTTTTGAAATCTCCCCCTGAGACTAATTGATATTTAATAATTTCGTACATATATTATCCATGCACTTGGTGTTTGCAAAAGAAAAATCTACTTAAATAAATTTAGCCATTAGTCCAAAGACATTATGCAGAGAGAGGCAAAGTGACAGTAAATGAATCCTGTGTGTTATAAAGACCCATCAATAGAATTAATACTTGGAGTTGTAAAGGGGCAAAGAAAGTAGATTTCCCAAGGCCACAGTTGGACTCGTATGTTAAAATGTGCAAGCTGGAAATCAGTAAATAGTCAAATTGGTTAAATATTTATTTGGAAGACAGAATAATAGCAGTGTGCACGTGACAAGCCATTAAGAAAAATCGCATGTAAATATTCAAGAGTGTGTGTGTGTGTGTGTGTGTGTTGTGACAACCTACCCAACTTCTTGTTGGCTACTGTGGCACGGTGCAGCATTGATGCCACCTCTGTTTCCCTCTTAGTCCCAGCAATAGGCCTGTGTGGGGAGGCTATGTAAAGTAGAATTCTCTAGTCCAAAGAAAACATGAAACAAAATGGCCTTTTGCCCCTCCTTGGCTACCCATCTACCTGCTGCCTCGCAGAGTGTTGATCCTCTAGACTTTCTCCCTGGAGGCCCAGCTCCTACATGAGCTGCTGACCCCCAGGGCTTTCTCCATGAAGTCCTTTCCCCAGTCTGGTTCTTCCCTGGGTGGATCCTTGGTCATAGTCTGTCTCCACTCCCATCTGCCTGGAGTTGGCCTTTTCCCAGGCCTACTACAATAGAGGTCTGCTCCGACCTAGCTGGACCCAAGCCTGAGAGGGTTGAGTAGTTTTCCAAACTGACCCAACACCGAACCTGAGTCAGCACCACCACTCCCTCCTGCATTTGGGGTTGGCACGGCAGCAGCTGCAGTGTGCCCTTGCCCTGCTCCTGCCATTTTCTCAGAAATACCAAACAGTGTTGTAAAGCTGTGTTAGCTTTTTACTAGAGCTGGTTGAAAACTTTCTATCTAAACCATTTTTCAACAGAAAATTGGGGTTTGAACTAAACTTTTTTGGCTTTCTGTGGAAAATTCCATTTTTACCACAAACAAAAAGAAAAATTTTTATGTAAAAAAAACCTGTATGTTTTGAATTTTTCAACAAAAAGTTGAAATTTTCTAGGGGAAATACCCATTTTCCCACCAGTATGTTTGGGGGGAGAAAAGAAAAAAATCGCAAAAATCCCCCAAACCAACAAACATTGAAACATTCAGAAAAAAATCCTACCAAAACAAAATGTTATTTTGCACACATAGTTCTCTTTGGGAGAGGATTAGAATGAAGGATAACACCTGGCAAGTTGTTAGTTTAATGCACTACTGGAAGGCACTCAGATACTACAGTGATGGGAGCAATGCATGAACCTGTATATAAGATGTTTAAATTTTCTCACGAGAATTTATTTCCAGCTAGAAAGTAATGTAGTGTGACAAATCAAGTAAGATAGCCGTCTTGCCAAATCCCTATTTTGAAATCCAGGTTTTGTAATTGAGTTGCCTAAAAATGTAAAGGGACTCTTCAATTTGTTTCCTAAAATTATTTATTTTAGGATGCACAAACTTCTAGAACGTTAACTCTTATATCAAAAACCATCCAAACTTTGGGGAGCTGGGGAAGTTTGTCCAAAAGCAAGCTTGTAAGTATATTAACGTTCTTACGTTGATGTATTTGTTTCACAGATCTTCTTGTTAGACATCAATTTATACGCTTATATCTTCTCTTTTAGTCAAGTTTCAAGGAGACATTTATGTGTGAATTTTTCAAAATGTTTCAAGAAGAAAAGTTTACAGAAGCTGTTCAAAAGGTACTTACTATGTAAACAATATTTGGCTCTTTTTAATGCCTTTGAGAGCAGGCCAGACTTAATAAAATGCCTATGATTTAAGATGTTTCCTTGCAATTCTCTTTTTTTTTTTTTTAGAAATCAAAATATTCTTATGTGCAATCTGTTTTTAATAAACCATAGATGTGAAAAAACTGCTGAAGCAAATTTTTGGAGCTATAATCCAGCTTGCCATCTTGGCTGGAAATGACTAAGCTGAGGCTTGAACAATATAAAATATGTTTAGATTTTAGATATCTAAAATTTAGATAAGTAGATTATAGAATGTTTATATATGAAAATTGTATTGAATTTAAGCTTAAAGATTTGTAGCTTCTTAAATATCTCTGGATGATCTCTGAATGGATGTAGTCTAATAGGGTATATATCTTAAGCTATTATATTGATATTACTTCATCCAGAGGCTTGTTATGAATGGTCTTATTACTGAAAACACTAGATATAAAAATACATCTCTACTCAATACATAGATGTTTGCCTCTTTGCTATAGTTAAATGAGGAGCAGCTCTGAACTTTCTGTATGGATGTTAGAGCACTTAGAACAGTCGAGCTTTCATCAGATTGGTTTGAAATTCAGTATGCCTCCATGTGGACACAGGGTATGGTTAGTGATCCAAATACGGGGCTGTTTGACCAAGGGGTTACTGAGATACAAGCCGGGGGGCAGAGGGGAGGGAAACAACGCTTTTCTTGAAGCAATGGTAATTTCTGGCAGTGGTGGTTTTTGCTCATGGACAGAGATCAAACTAAGGCTCAGATCATCACCTCAGATACTCTAGTGTACCCCGATCAAAGTGCCTGGCACCCAACAGTCCTTTGGGGGAAATCACATGAAAACACTATTTTAAAAAAGGGGTTGCTTCTCCAGTTAGGCATGGTAAGGCACACTCACCTATTTGTGCACCTAATAGATTACACTGTGCATGTGCAGAGAGCCTATCTGGGAAACTATATCTACACCACAGGTTCATGAGTGGCTCTAAGAATATGTTATGGTCATTGAGTCCAAGCACCACCCCAGGAACTGAGAGTTTGAATCCAATTTGGGGTAAAAATCTGAAGTTTAAAAAAAGCAGGCATATTGCTCCAATCTGCCTCTATCAAAGTGTTGTTTTATTTTTATTTTGGAAAAATGTATTCCGAATACAGCGGAATAGTCAGAAGAGGCTTAAATTTTTTTGAAAGGAGAATAAACTACACAAGCAATTGCTTGCTGGGAGGGGAGGTGATAAGGCATGGAAGAGTAGGTAGGAATAAGGGGAGAGGGGGTTGAGGGAATCAGGTGATGGGAACTAAGGAGAGTGGAAGGAGAGGGATGAGACACTGGAAAGAGGACTAGGGAGAATAGGGGCCAGAGACACCTGTCATCCCATATTCCCCTCCCAAGTATGTGTTCCCCCAGCCCATCTAGAGGGGTGTGACCCTCCCTCTTCTCTGCCGTCTCTTCTTTCCCCCCCGCCACCCATGTGAGTCACAGATGGGGGTGTCTGAGCCTCTCTCCCTCCCTGCTCCCAGTATGTGTGCCAAGATCTGAAAGCCCCTGACCATCTATGGACATATGATCTCCCCAGCCCGTGGCCTCCCCCCTCATCTGACCCAGGTTTTGGGGGAGCTTGCCTTTTGGGGGTGTCTGAGCCCCTCTCCCCACCCCCATATGTGAAGCCCTGTCCTTCTAGGTGGGGACCTTAGAACAGCCATGCTTAAAACATGTGCCAGGAACACACTACTGACACTGGGGTGAGGAGCTGAGAGCAGGTGTGCTTGACACACATCAGAAACTCTCCAGCATGGGGGACAGGAAGTTCACACCTCAGAGCTGTTGTTTCAGGCTGTACCTTATCTCCAGTAAGTATTCTCTCTCCAGAGAATCTCATTGAGATGAACTGGCTGTTTAATTGCTGAGCCTGCTATACTGTTGATGGATGTGTAGAACTCCTCCCTTCCATTCTCTCTGTAATGTCATGCAGTATTGTAATGGAGCGCCAGTTCTGGACTAGCAAAGGTTTGGAAGCCATTCCTGTTTAAACGACAGCTCTTCTAAGTGCTCTAAAATCTGCCTGCTTAGACAGATTGTCTTGACATTTGCTATGCCTTGTGGGAGTTAGTGATCCAAATGTCGGGTCATTTGAGCAAGGGGTTGTCAAGATACAGCCTGCTGGGGAAAAAACAGCCTTTCCTTAAATTCATAGATTCTAGCAACTTTGAAGTTTGAAATTCACGTGGGGTAGAAATCGGAGAATGAACTATAAAGATTTGGGGGGGAAATGGTTCTATCAAGGGTGTGTTTCTGTTTTTGTTTGTTTTTCAAAGCATGATCATTATCCCCATTTCACTATAGCAAAATATACAGAAGTGGGAGGAGAGGAGAATTTAGGAATCACATAACTGTGTGGAAAGACCATTGGATTGGGACTGTTCCCAGCTCTGCCACTGACCCACTGAGTGACCTTGGGCAAGTCACTTAATCTCTCTCTGAGCTTTGGTTTCCCATCTGTAAAATGGAGATAATGACATGTAGGTCTTTGAGATCTACTGATAAAAAGCACTATATAACAGCTAGGTCTTCTGATTATTAAGTAGCCACAGTAGCATATCAATTACAAACCCAAATGAGAACTACAACTGTCTAAATGACCACTAACCTCTACCAACAAAAAAATTTTCTGTTTTAAAAAACTAGGAAATTAAAAGGCAAAAAACTTTAGAACAAAGTTAAGCTTGCTCCAGGGAGAGCTTGTGCCCCTCCAGAACATAGAGTTCAGCAAGACTCATTCTCTGGAAAACCAGAAAGTACCAAGTTATGGTAAATGCCTACGCCGCCTTAACTCTGCCCTCTTTGAGCAGCGCCCCAATACACCCATTGCACATGCTCGCGCTCGCTCTCTCTCTCTCCACTGCCTGTGCTTGCCCTATGATCAAACACTGAGCCGACTACCCTGATAGAATATTACATTTATAAAATTTAACCACTTTACATCCTTTTACAGCCCCTTCATACTTCCACACAAGACAACACCTAAGCTATATTTTCCCATTACCTATCATTAAATCCAGACTGCTGTCATATCCCTCCTCACCCATGGCAAGAAGACCCCAGTGTCCTGCTACTGATGCAACATGCACAATACTGTATTGAAATTATGTAGACTGCAACCTCAAGAAGTTGTTTGAATTCTGGTCTCCATGTGTGTGTTGCACCAAGGCTGAAACAGGAGAGTTCTAGCAAGTGGGTCTGCTTGTCCACACCTATGTAGATGCTCTGCTCGTGCTCCCTACTGAGGTATAAGGGGCAGCGTGCACTGATGTCTCTTCAGTTCCTTCTTACCGTGTGGCCTGAGTCAGACTCTTCTAGTGTCTGGAACTGATCATCTTCTACATTCTTGCCTGTGACATATTTAAAAGTTTTATCCTGTTAGTTTTTTCATAGTTTAGTTAAAATTCCCCGCCCCGGGGAATCCTCCAATACCTCAATGCGGGACTTAAATCATGTCCAGCCTTCTGGGTTGCATCCCCAGCCCCCACTCCTCTTCTTTCAAGGATGATCAGCAGTGCTGCCTCTGCTGCCGTGGAGAAACTCCTATCTCTGCTAAGTACAGTATCTGCCTCTCCTTGCTAGTTGAACGTGGCAGGCACGAGAACTCTTAACTTTGGAAACACCTGACAGAAGGTGCCATGAGGCTTCAGTTGAATCAACCCTGCGGTAATTCTCCTGTACATGGACCTGAGACATCGAGGAGTGTGCCTTCTAGTTCAATGCCTTACTCAGACATGGAAATGGCTTGAATAAAGGACACTGTCACCTAGCCCTTCTCATGAAACATAAGAGCAGAGCCCCTCCTAGACCTTAGAGAATGGATCCCCCTCTACAGTTTGGGCAGATCTTCATGACCATGATCAAAAGGCTCATTGGAGCAATGCTCTTCAACATGGACCTCGATAGCAATCAAAACAAAACACTGAGTGTCAAAGGACCCTAAACCATCATTACCAATGATAACACAGTCGAAGGGGACATCGCCGGTAGTACCACCACAGCCCCAGAAGGAACCACCAACTACTAAGAGTTCCTTTACACGAACATCAGTGGTACAGGGCAATGAGACTCGGCCTCCAGAATCCTACACCACCCCAGAAAACACTGTCATCCTCCCATACCCACAATCTGCCTTCCTCTCCCCCCCGCCCTCCCGGTTGTTCAGACCTACCCTCACCAGGGAGATCATCTCCCATTCCATCTTCTAGCCATGGCTTCCCAGTACCTGTACCAGTGAGACCACTGATGGAACTGGACCCAGACTTCTCATCTTCCAGAGTCACACTTTCCAGTGGAACCATCTTCCCCTCCACAAAGGGAGTTCAGTCTGGACAGAAGTTCAGGAGTCCTCTGTTTTCAGCCTTGTTGATCTAATTGTGGACCTCATCCCTCAGGACCACCACACCCTTCTTTCAATGGATCATTTTGGCCTTACTAGGGACCATGGGACCTGTACACATGGCACATAGAGTCTGTGTATCCCATAGGGAATCCTAGTACCTCTCTCTGTCCAGGGACCAACTGGAGATTCCTGAACCTACAGTGGAGGAGGAAGACTAACCAGATCCATCAGTACCACTGGACCTAAAGGTATTTCATCTTCCTTGCCTGATGTGACTTCTCTGGATAACCACATACCGTTCCAAGAACTACTGCTGAGAGTAGTAGAAGAGCCTCTTAGAGGAGATCCAGGGCTCATAACACAAGCTCTTGAACATTCTTCAACAGCCTTTGTGGTCTAGCCAAATAGCACTCCCAGTCAACAAGGCCATATTAGAACCAGCAAGAACTGTATGATAAACACCAGCCACTTGTGCCCCTACCTCTAAGAGGGCAGAAAAGCAGTACTTTCTCCCCGCTAAGGGAACCGAGTTCTTCCACCCTGCCCCAAACTCCCTATTTGTCCAAGCAGCCACAGAAAGTTCAGACAGCAACACCCAAAGGCCACCCCTGCTGACAAAGAACATAAGAACAGCCATACTGGGTTAGACTGATGGTCCATCTAGCCCAGTGTCCTGTCTTCCAACAGTGGCCAATGCCAGGTGCTTCAAAGGGAATGAACATTCCCTGTCACCTGTTCCCAGCATCGGGCAAACAGGGGCTAGGGACACTTCAGAGCATGGTTTTGCATCCCTGCCCATCCTGGCTAATAGCCACTGATGGACCTATCCTCCATGAGCTTATTGACTTTTTTTTTTTTTTTTTTTTTTGAACCCTGTTTAGTCTTGGCCTTCACAACATCCTCTGGCAAAGAGTTCCACAGGTTGACTGTGCATTGTGTGAAGAAATAGTTCCTTTTGTTTGTTTTAAACCTGATGCCTATTAATTTCATTGGGTGACCCTTGGTTACTGTGTTATCTGAAGGAGTAGATAATACTTCCTTATTCACTTTCTCCATACCAGTCAAGATTTTATAGACGTCCATCATATCCCCCCTTTTCAGATTTGAAAAGAGATGACAAAGTCCCAGTCTTTTTAATCTCTCCTCATATGGAGGCTGTTTCATACCCTTAATCATTTTAGTGGCCCATCTCAGTACCTTTTCCAATTCTAATATCCTTTTTGAGATTGGCTGACCAGACCTGCATACAGTATTCAAGGCTATGACTTTTGCCAGGAAGCTCACTGAACTGCGTGGTCTAACATCTGAACCACCATATACAATCTTCTTTTTAGATAAGGTATACTTATGCCTTCAGCCAAGCTTTCTCTCTAAAATAGTATCAGATTTTCACATCAGCCAATCAGTTTGTTTACTTGTATTTTCCCAAAACTGCACGCAAATTGGGACAAGCAACTGCTAAACGTATTGGACGTTAGACAAGCACTGGCATTTTACATAGCACCAAACGGTTTCAGCGACCCACTCTACTGTTCATGGCTATAGCGGACAGAATGAAAAGGTCTTCCGATCTCGTCTCAAAGAATTTCATCTTGGATAACTTCCTGTATCGGTGTTTATGATCTGGCATGCAATTCTCCACCAGACAAGCTGACCGCTTGCTCCACAAGATCACAAGCAACCTCAACGGTGTCCTTGCACAGGTCCTATCCAGAACATTTGTAAAGCAGTTGTTCTAATTTATTCCTCCACCATTCAGTACAGCTGCACCTAAAGCAGTGACTGCCACTGGAGTGCATGCAGATAATTCCCAGAGGCTATTGCCAGTTCCAGAGTCTGAGTTAAGATTGCGTAGGCATTTACCTTACTCTGTTTCCTGCTTTTCAGAAATTTGAGTTTTGTTGAGCTCGACATTCTGAAAGGCACAGGCTAGCACCTGTCAACTTTAACTTTGCGTTAACAGTTTTTTGCCATTTAACTTTTTTATATATTTGTATATTACATATACACATTGGCCAAGATGTTAAAAATGAGCCTAAAATTAAGGTCCTAACTTAATAAGTGTCCTAACTTTTTAAAAAGTACTGAGCAACTAGCAGCTCCTATGGGCTTTTGGAAATCTTGTGTGTAGTTGAGAAATTTCTAATGTACTCTTCATAAATTTGTTTTCATGTTACTGACCTTTTAAAACTGAATTCCATACAATTTACCCCTAATTACACTCTATTTACCGAAATATTTGTGTACTGCAAAAAATTGTGTTTTTATGAGAAACACTATGGATTTGGGCAACTTTTTTTTTCTTTCCAAACATAACCTATTCTCCTTGTTCTCTTTAGTTTTTAGATGAAGTGTCATCTACTGAAAGTAAAGAGCCCAGTGGCATGAGTGAACCAGTACATCTAAAAGAAGGGTAATAGAAGTGTAAAGTACTGTCCGTTGCACAAATGTTTAGTAAAGACATGATCTCAAAGCAAGGACATTATGCATGTCCATTTTGTATTATTTATACATGGAAAATATGTATGAATTTTACCCCTATTTAATTACAGCAAATTACTTTATAAAATGAGCAATAATTAGAAAACATTTGTTGACATGTTGCATTGATTATATTATTTATGAAATTTGTGAAAATACTCCATTAGTGTATACACTATATACATCAGCGATATGTAGTTTGTAGAATTAATTAACAGCTCTTGTGAAATTTTTATAACTCACCTTATCGTATTTTAGGAAGGCTTATCTTTTTTCTTAATGTTTTCAGTCTCTCTCTGTATTTCTGAAGGAATGTAATCCATGCCCTCTCAGTGGCAGATTTAATAAATGTTAAAATGTATTTCAGAATCCCATAACCTGCTATTAGAATGACTTCACATGCTCTGCCTCTTTAGCTCTGAGAGACCAAATATACCAAAGCAGAAAAATCCTTCCCATAATTAGAGAGCATATGAAAGTTTCATTCTTAATGACTCATAGAATATTTGAAAAACGTGGGGCAGAGGTGGCTAATGGTAAAGTAAAAAAATAAGTTTTGTTTGCCCATAAACACCCTTGAGTTAATCTATTTACGAGCTGTTCCTGGGTTAAAAAAAAGATTCAGTTTATATCTGGGAAGCGGATTTTTAGCAATGGAATCATCCTCTACAGAACAATAACTTCTGGCACATGCTTCTTCCTCAGTCTGAGAGTTAAATTGCCAAACTTAGGCTAGGTCTACACTACCCGCCTGAATCAGCGGGTAGAAATCGATCTCTCGGGGATCGAATTA